TGCTCTCGGTGAACATGGTGCGGCTGTTGCTGGTGTCGCTGCCGTGGAGGCGGATTCGCAGGGGGCCGGGGAAAATCGGCGCATGGCGGCAGTACAGCGTGTGCAAGGGTAGGTGATGCGAATGGGTAAAAACGCTGTCATAGCCCCCGGTCGCGTCGTTCCAAAACTGAAAATCGTACGGCGACGCGGCCGTCTCCTCGCACGCGCGATCACCGCTCTCGTATCCACCCTCTCCGCTTCCGCCTTTCCTCCCTCCCCCCAAACTGTGTGGGGACTTTTGATTCGAGTCGCGCATCCGGTAGAAGTACTCATGGGCGCTGTTAAAACAGTTTAAGAGCTGCACGTTTCGCTGAATATGAAAGGCAAAAAACGCGTTGGATGGGGCACCGTTAATGGAGTGCAGGGGAAACTGGGAGGGGCTTGACGCCGCCGGCAGCTCCTGCAGCACCGCCGACGTGTGGCCCAGGCTAATGGAAAAGGAACTCAGACGCCGGAGAAAACGAACCAGGTTAGGACTCGACTCAGGGTCGAGTAGTGCGTCCCAAATCGGCTCGAAGATATTCTGGAGGACGTCTTGGAAGGTTTCAGCCTGGCCAGTGAGTTTCCCTCGGTCGGTGTTGGAGAGATGCTCCTGGCACATGAGCCACCACCACGGCGCGGATTCTTCCGCGCGATAAACGGAGTCCGTGTTGGGGGCTTCAAAAGCGCTTTGGGTCACGTTAATACAGAAGACAATTCGTTTTTCTTCTAAAATTCCGCTGCGCACACACCAATCGGCGATGCGGTCCAGCTCTCCATACACACCACCATTGATGGTCACCTCAAGCTCAATTACATCGGACTCGTTGCCCGAGGTGTGAAGCAAGCGTGAGAGAGCCGGTACCACCAGTTTGGCAAAAAGGTCCCCTTGGTTCCCATTTTCAATGGATAGAAAATTTCGTAAATTTTCATGCACGTCTTGAGCTTGGCTGGAGATATTTTTTTCACCCTTCGCAGGGTGGTGGAAGTTCGTCCAGCGACCATCGAGGTCTCGGGCGTACTGTGGGGTCAAGAAGAGTCCTTCCGGTGTTAAGGCGCGTGCGACCTTATGAGATGAAATGCCACCGGTGTTCTGGCCATTGGACAGGGGAAATTCTCCTTCGCTTCCCTCGGCACACCAGAAACGCATCACAAGATCCTGCACAGTGATCACTTCCCCGGTCGAACGATTCCGTCTTTTCCAATCTCGCACCTTCACATCCGCTTCATTAATCCGTGATTGCTCCCCGGTGCTTGGGCCCCAGTTCGACTTTAGTGGTTCCCCACCGCTTGTTATAGTAGGATGGATTCTGCTTTGCGGCTTATCGATGGACGAGGCCTCATCGCCGGGACTAAACGCCGTATTCCCGACCGATCCCCGGCGATTGACCACATAATTGGGATCCTTTTGGCATATGGACTCAATAAACTTGAGAAGCGTCCTGGCCGAGATGCACGTTTCGAGGCGTCGAATGTCGACCTTTGGCGCCCGCGCCACGCTGCCTCCCCCGACGACCGGATCGCACTGATCCTCGCGCAACCCGTTGTAGGCGCTGTGCAGGGCGTACCGACTTTTCAAAATCCGCAGCCGCGGCTCGCACGCGGTGAAGAGTATAGGATCCGCCGCGATGTTGTTTAATCGCTCGAAACACTTGCGGAAGCTGGGGTAGTCCAAGGCGGTTTGGGAGAAAAGGGCGCCATCCACGAGCATCTGCCGCGGCCCGATGAGCCCGCTTTTATGGCAGACCGTCAGCGATTCCTGCCCGCGCCGGACGGGGTGGAGGAGGGTGTGGGCGCGCTTCGCCGGGGATAGGGCGTCGCTAAGCGGATCCGAGGGAAATCGCGCGTAATCGCCCTGATTTTCGCTTGAATTGGCGTCTTCCAAGGGCGAATTCGACGCGGAATGGGGGGTGGCGCCGCGGTTGGCCCCCATCGCCGTCGGGGACGCCGTCGCGCTTAGGGAATCGCCGTGTTGAATTTGAACAAAGGCGGCCAAAATCGCGTCCAGGACGGGGTACATAATCTTTCGCCGCCCACTCAGCTCTTCGAGGTTGCGCAGAGTCCGCCCCGATAAAGGGCTGGAGGAGCGGGGCGACGCCGCCGCGGCGTTGGGTTTTAACCGGCTGAATAACTCATTCGTGCGGTGCGAAAGCTGAACCGCCGCCGCCAAAGTCTTGGCGGACTCAATCGTCCAAAGGGCCTCCAGAAGTAGTGGGGCGGCTTTGTGAAAGCCCTCGTCGCCTTCGTCATTCTCAATGACCACATTATGCCATTGCTGCTCCATTACGAATGAAAATATTAAATATTAGAAAGACCCCCCCACCCCCAAAGCCTCTTAGTTAGGATTACAGAGTTTTAACAAAACACAGTAATAACGATAGCTTGGATTATAGGAAAGAGCAAAATCCGCAGTGCTTTAAAGGATTGACCTTCACATACACCACACTCACTTAAGATTTTAATTAACAAATTACTTCCCAAGAAAAATAAATGATCAAGTTTGTCTAGAGGCACTTCAAAAACTGTCAATTAAGGCTGGAAAGAATTTACTTAAATTAAAAAAGACCTTATCGGTGTGGTACTATTATACACACTATATCGTTTGTGTGATGCCCTCTTTTCTAAGTAAGGTGTTAGAAGCGGAACAAAAACAAAAGGAAAGGAGAATGGATTGATGACATCACTATAAAGTCTCTAATTCCTTTTAAAATGGACAAACACATCTGCACTACACACCCATGGCGCCATCTTTTCGATGTCCTTGTGGTCGAACATTGGGAAGAGGAGGAGCCCAATCTGGGGAGATGGGATCCCAAATGCAGTGATTCCATACTCGACCCATGGTCTTTTTAACATTATTAATAGTTAAACGCAAAAAAATATATAATATCACGACACCGAATGGGTCAAAATTTCACCATCCACCTTTTCATCCGTTTCATCCACGGCTACGATGCATACTTGGGAAACGAATGCGTCAGGTCGACGCCTTTCTTCTGGAGAAAATTGATCCGTTTGTTCTGGCGATAGGTGGCCTGAACCTTCGCCCGGAGTAATTCCATCTCCTTCTTTCTCGCCTCGTCGTTTGCGGGGGGGCGGCCGGAAGGACGCGACGCCGAGCGGGGGTGGGTCTCATCGATTTGGCGGGTGATGGCAGGGGCGAGGCCCAGACGCGCCAGTCGTTTCTCCTCCGCCAAACCGCCTTTTGGGGTTACGAGAAATCGAGACTGCGCGGGCCCACTCGCCCTCCCCCCTTTGGCTTTTCCTCCGTCTTCTTTTCGCTCTTTTCTTTCCAGTTTGGAGGCCAAACGCGAGACCGCGGCGTTTCGGTTCGGCACCACGTCGAAGATCGGCGGCGCCTCCACGCGCTCGCCAAACTTCGGGATGTCGATGAGGTCGAAAAAGTCCCGAGGCCGTCGCGGCCCGCCCGAGGGGAGGCCGTCGACATCTTCCGCGAAGGTAATCCGCTTCGGGG